TTGTCTGTAGAGACGAGTTTCATGAGGGAAATAAAACAGCATAACGAGCTAGAGAAACTAGGAAGGGCCATTTTAGGCGGAGTGGTCAGGGCTAGGGGCAACACTTGAGCTGGGAGCTGGAGAATAAGACAAATATATGAAGATTCGGGGGCGGAGGAAGAGCGTTGCAGGCAGAGGAAACAGCACAGGCAAAGGCCTGGAGGTGGGAAGGAGCATGTGTGTCCAAGGACAGGAAAGGAAATCAGAGCAGGTGAAGTACAGGGACAATGTATACGACAAAGGGGGCAAGGTGGGCAGGAGCCAGACTATGGAAGGCTTTCTGTGCGATGGTTGGGGGTTTGGATTTTCTTCTAAGAACCATGAGACCCACTGAAAGGATTTAAGCAAGAGTGTGACATGGTATGATTTGGGTTTTTAAAATTCACCCTGACTGCTATTTAAAGAATATTTTGGAACCTGCAAGAGTGGAAGCCCAGAGGTTCTTGGACTCTGACCTGTCTTCCCACTCAGTCTTCATTCCGACTCACGTCATCTCTTGCCCATAGTGTTATCAGAGAGTCCAAATCTCCCCTTGAAGGTGTGCAAGCTGCAGGCAAAACACAACCACTATGATCTGTGCCTTTGCAGAGCTCAGAAGATAATCCAGGGACAGAAGAGTAAGTGGTAGAGAGAACACAGTGCATTGAGGGTGGAGGATGCTATTGATGCGGCGGAGAGACTGGAAACTCAAACCTGGAGGAGGCCGGGGAGGACTCTCCAGGGGAAGAAATGTGTAGGCTGAGGCCTGGGGGGAAGTAGGGATTAGGCAGATACAGAAGTTCATGTGCAAAGGCCAAAGAGAAAAGGGCATGGTGTGTTTGGGGAATGAAACTCTGGGTCTGGCCAAAGCATGGGGTATGAGAATGGAGGTGGTGAGAGAGGAGGTTTAAGTGGCCAATTAACGCTTATTGAATAAATGAGTGAATGAATGAATGGGTGCTGGGAGACACAAGCCAAAAGGAAGACAATTCGAATCTAACACGTGGAGTCCTTTAGTATTGCCATTCCAGAACTTAAACTATATAGTAGATGACAACTCGACAAATGAGTTAAACGCAACTGAGGAAACATTTATCGAGTACTTACTACATACCAAGCACACGTTAAGCATTCACAGTAGATCTGTAGATCTGGCTTTTGCCCTGGAGAAACTCACAAAGGCAAGTGACATTTGTATGACCATCAAAGACTGTGATTGACACTTAAATGACTATTTTCCAAAGTGAGGCATAAATAAAGTAGATTCGTAATGTGGATGAAGCATAGGGATCTTTTTCCTAACATAGTCTCAGTCTCTCTCTCAAATATATATGTATTTGTTTGTTTGTTTTAAGATCTGGAGTTTGGGCCTAATCTTTAGTTTTGGTCAACAGAAAGAAGGAGATCCTACATCCTCCCACGGATTTCCACGTGCCCCTGCAGATTCTTCGAATTCTCTATAGTCTCACCGCCCAACATTTTTATTTTCTATACCTTCTCTGTCCAATATGGTAGCCACGAGCCATGTGTGGTCATGGAGGCCTTGAAATGTGACCACTCTGAATTAAGATGTGCTGTGAGTGTAAAATAGAAACATGATTTCAAAGACTTAGTATAAAAAAAGAACACAATTTCGTTAATAATTGTTTAAATTGATTACACATTGATATAATATGTTGAATCTTCTGGGTTAAACGTATTATTGATTTCACCTGTTTCTTTTAAGTTTTTAAAACGTGGCTAATAGGAAACAAAATCACATATATGGCTCACATTTGTGGCTTGCATTATATAGTCAGTTCCACTATAATGCTTATTTTGAAAATGTGAATTTGTTGCAATGCCATTGATATATTGAGGAATGATGAGAGCATAACACAGATGTGGTGTCTGCTTATGTCTGCGAGGAATACTAGGTGAACTCAGAAAACTGCACCCAGCTGAACTGAGCCACGTGGGCACACAAAATGCCCACACACGCACAGACCTCAAACATCTACCAGCTACTTCAGTCCACCGCACGAATTAGGCACCACGTGCATCCACGTCTGGTGCTCAGACTTTCTGTCCAATTTCAGATAAACTTCCTTCTGCCATTTCACAATAACACAAGCGGGGACCCACTGCTTGTGGACGTCACTTCTTTTTTTTTTTTTTTTTTTTTAAAGATTTTATTTTTTCCTTTTTCTCCCCAAAGCCCCCCAGTACATAGTTGTATATTCTTCGTTGTTGGTCCTTCTAGTTGTGGCATGTGGGACGCTGCCGCAGCGTGGTCTGACGAGCAGTGCCATGTCCACGCCCAGGATTCGAACCAACGAAACACTGGGCTGCTTGCAGCGGAGCGCGCGAACTTAACCACTCGGCCACGGGGCCAGCCCTTGTGGACGTCACTTCTGCAAGTAAATGCCAGGTCTTTTCCAAGATAAAGTGCAATATATAGTATAGCATTTATGTATTCGTAACCATTTAACACACGCAAAACTGGCCTACTGTTTTCACTAAGTTCCCATCTTTTGTCAAAATATGTCACTGAGAGTTTTTGAGCGCTGCGTCCCTAACCCCACAGTCTCCTTAAGTCCCATGGTTTTTTATCACAAGATTTTGCATATCATGGTATTTTTCAGAAACACCCATGGCTGTATTTCTATTGGACAATGCTGTGCTACAGAGCCTCGGTTCCTAAAGCCCATTCTAGCATCTCCGCCCTACTCTTCAGCCACTTGCTTAAAGGGAGACTGGATCTTCCTTGAAAACAATCTTAAAAAAGAACCAAAGCAACATGATTCAAAGGCACTGAAGGGCCAAGCGCCCTATGGTGTATAGCCTATATGTGTGTGCTAATGATTACTTTGATTTAATAACATTACTGCTAACATCCCTGTAAACCTGAAAACAACTGCTGTGCTTTTACGAGCAGTGCTAAGGAGAGTGAAATAAATAAGAGGTCTTGCTGCTTTGAGGACAATCTTTGTTTTATGGATGAGATGGAAGGTGTGACGATTTCGGAGGGCTCTTCCTGAAAATCCCAGGGGCCACCATTACTACGACGTCACTGGAAACGTCCTGGTGCTGGGATTCCTGCTTCTGAGACGATGATGCTTTATTTTTTCTTAAGCCAGGCTTTATCCCAGCGCTGTCAGAATGGACCCTGGGGGCTTAATTGGAAAACCAGTGTAGAATATGGACTCACTTAAACATAGACACTTCCTTAAAAGCTTTTGGTTCGATGTGAATGTAAGTCATTTTGATTACTCAATTTCTATATTTATTAGGAATGATAAACCAAAGTACTTGAAAATAATTTCAGTGGCGATGAACTGTGGCGCTCGATCGATGGGGGACACGGCAGTCAATTACCCTTTCACTTTATTTTGGTCCTCAGCAATCAGTTGGGATCAATACTCTCAATCTCAATTGATAGCAGAGCGCAAATCACAAATAATTTTTTTAAGTGGGCTGTCACAGTGTGTGCAGGCAAGTCCAACAGGTCCTGAGCCATCCCCTGCTCTTCCGTGTGGGCAATCGGGAGCGGTGTGCGCTCTGGTGAATTCCTAGCCCTGTCTCGTCAGCAGGAGCAGCTGTGACAGGCCAGTTCAGCCTGAGCGGATGTTTAGCATCACAACTGTGTCTCCTTACAGCCCACTCTGTCTTCTTTAACATTAGGTGCCTGAAATGATCTCAAGTCTGAAACTTGGTGAAATCAATTACTTGAGCAAAAAGGAGGATCTGGAAGGTAAATCATGCAAAACTCAACGAGGATAAAGGAGGGAAGAACTATAACCCCAGGAAGGATGCCCAGATATCCTAAATGTGCTCTTTAAAACAGTGGGTGTTGGGGCTGGCCCGGTGGTACAGTGGTTAAATTCCCACGTTCTGTTTCGGCGGCCTGGGGTTCACTGGTTTGGATCCCGAGTGCGGACATGGCACCGCTTGGCAAGCCATGCTGTAGTAGGCATCCCATATATAAAGTAGAGGAAGATGGGCACAGATGTTAGCTCAGCGCCAGTCTTCCTCAGCAAAAAGAAGAGGCGGATTGGCAGCAGATGTTAGCTTAGGGCTAATCTTCCTCAAAAAAAAAAAAAAAAAGGGTGGTGTGGCAGGAGCTTTTCCTGAAGGTACAGACTCTGGAGAAAGGCTTACTTGTCTTCTCTGGGGGAGGCAGAAAGATCCTTGAATTGCACGTGAGATCCTCGCAGTCCTGCCATTCAGAAGCTGGGTGACCCAGGGTCAAACACAGCTCCACTTCACCGCTGGAGAGGTGGGTCCCAAGTCTCGAAATGAATGGGTTGCATTGGGTTGATGATTTCCAAATGGTGTTCGCTGGGGTGCTTTGCACTTCAGAGAAAGTAGGGAAAGGGTTGATGAGAGAAGGAAGGAAAGGGTTGATGGGAAGGCCAAGATGCTCCTCACTCCATATAAACAAGAGCCGCTCAGTTGTTTATTTTAGTTTTGTACATTTGGCTTTAAGTAAGATTTTGTTTGAAGCAGCAGCCTAATTAGTTTGTAAGAGTCTGAACACTGGAGCCAGACTGCCTGGGTGTGTATCCCAGCTTCCGCTTTCTAGCTGGGTGACCTTGGGCAAGTTACTTAAACTCTCTGAGCTTCAGTTTCTACAAATGAGATGCTGATAGTACGTAGTCTAATGGAGTGATTATGAAGACTACATTAATATTTGTCATAGTGCACTCAGAACAATGCCCGGCACATGGCAAGCACTGTATATGGGTTTAAGTAAATAAAGCTGTATGCTACCTTTTAAAAAGCTTTATGGGCCTGCCCCATGGCTGAGTGGTTAAGTTTGCATGCTCTGCTGGGGCGGCCCAGGGTTTCGCTGGTTCGGATCCTGGGCGCAGACATGGCACCGCTCGTCAGACCACGTTGAGGCGAAGTCCCACATGCCACAACTAGAAGGATCTGCAACTAAGATATATAACTATGTACGGGGGGGGATTTGGGGAGATAAAGCAGAAAAAAAAAAAGAAGAAGAAGATTGGCAACAGTTGTTAGCCCAGGTGCCAATCTTTAAAAAAAAAATTAAAAATTAAACGCTTTAAAACTACAGCTCTTTACTAGGGGTCTCCAAACTTTTTGACCATACATCCTTCTCAGAAAAGAAATTCTGAACTGCAATCCCCATCTGTGTACATATGGGGATGTATGATGTACACTTGTATACGTCATCTACTATGGTTCTAATATGTTTTGTGTTTTAAGGTGTGCAAACAATTCTGTGACGGACATAAAGTGAGGAGGTGAGTGGTGAGTGGAGGTAGACCTATGGCCTCGATTCTCCTCGGGTTTCTTGGGCTCAGGGTGCTGGGCACCCAGAGCTTGTCTGGGATCCCCAGTGAGAGCAGTTGGGTGAGCCCTGGTTGAGCAAAAGTAGAAGGCTTTGCAAAGTCATGGCAAAGGGACCCTTGTCATTCTCCATTTTCAGTCAACATGTGACGCTTTGAGTGTTCCCGAGCATGAAGTGAGCACCTACTGTGTGCCCTCGGGGAAGGAAAAAAACACAAGATGAAGTCTATGGTCCCAAACAATTCAGACACGTCATGAAAAGCTAATACCGAAAACGCGGCCACAGCCTTACACTTGAGGATCCCTGATGGCGGGTCTGTCATAGGATGCAAATGGCGCCGGGGAAAGAGACTCTCATGAACTTGGGGATGGTCTTTGATATTAGCACTCTAAGACCCATAGCAAAAGCTCTCCTTCTCCCCTGCCCTGCCACTCCCTGTGGCAATTCTAGGCCAGGAGGCCAGGTCTTCGTGGCCTGTGTCCAGGGGAATTCCCATAAGACCAAGATAAGTAGTAACAGAGCCACCAAACGTGCCATCAGATTCCAGCATTTGGACTTTCTTGTTGTGGGCAGGTTCACCAACCAATCCCACGACCAGTTTAGGGTGTGAACTGTCCAGACTTAATCTGAGATCAGAGGAGCTGCTTTAGAAGCCTGCCACATCCACGTAGGAGGGAAGAGAGAATCAAGCAATTATTGAGAAACATCACATGGGCCTGAAGCATTTCCTTTATATCATGATAAAGATCTAAGTCACTCTCCTCTACAGATAGATATTCTTCAGAGTTAATGTTTCTCTCAGGAAGTAGCCTCTGGAGCTGAAGATTTGTATGCTGTTGTCCAGAAACGTGCTGGGCTGTCAGCTCAGCTCACAGCAAGCCTCTTATCTGCCCACCTCCTTTACAGAGTGACAGCCAGGCAGCCCCGTAGGTTCTACAGCAGAGCTTCCTAACCCTCAGATTGACCTGGGGATCTTGCAAACCTGGAGATTCTGACTCAGTAGGTCTGGGATGGCCCAAGCGTTCACCTTTCTAACAAGCTCTCAGGAGATACTGATGTTGCTGCTCCAGGCACCACACTTTGAGCGACAGGTTGTATATAACTCCACCCCTGCCCATGGCTGATTGTACCTGGAGTAAACACCTGACCCACCTCAACCAATCAGCTTCCCTCCCAGACCTTTACGTTTGAGACAAAGAGATTCTCTTCCCTCTGGGATGCTCTCTCAAAGGTGGAGAGATCTAAAAACTCAGAAAGTGCAAGATGGCCATTTTCTGCTGTGTGGACTGAGGAAAAGGGAAAAGCAGGCGGCACAGAAGAATGGAGCAAGTATGCAAGAGGAGAGACACAGAGCAGACGGCCTGAGTCTTGCAGCATTTACTCTCTGGGTCCAGGACCTATTCACCCTCTAGGATATCCCTCACTTGGGTTCCACAAGACACCCCTTCATCACTATAATCATTTCCTCTTTTTCACTTAACCTTGTTGTAAGTTGCTTTTCTGTTACTTGCAACCAAAGAATCCTACGATGCAGGAATTTAGACTGTAAACAGTCACTGATTGGCAAGCACTGGTCCTTTTCCTCTCAGACCTTAGCAAGAGCACATCAAAGATGCTTGTTAGATGAGTGAATGAATGAACATAATGCCCCAGGCATGTTGTTCTCCACAGCTTCTCTGTGCCCAGATTTGGAGAAACCCTTCTACTTCCTGTCTCACTGTCAATCCTAGAAATCCAATTGTGAATGCAACTCACTGACTGTCAATTTTCCTCTTTATGCCATCTAATCCCTCGACGCTCGAATTTCATTCTTCATATCTGGCAAGGGAAAAAGGGACTTGGGGAAGGTGTATTTCCCCTTTAAATACCATGAAAGTTATGAATATATCTTTCCCAAACTGCCAAAATAATTGTTTCATTTACAGAACTGAAATTCTCTCGGGAGCGTCCCAGTGATGTTCTAAATTGCTAACATCAGATATGCAGAAAACAAATATGGAGCGATCCATATGCTCCCAATCCTGAATTTAGCATTTCAGCTCAACAAAAACTTGCATTTCAATCACTTTCAGTCAGTTGTGGGTTATGAGTATGTGCAGGGTTAGGGGTGCATCGAAGCCACCGGCCTAGAACCTTCTGCAGAGAAGGGCTCTGTCTGTACAGCCTGAGGCTCCCGCACAAGAGCCATTTAGAGAGTTCACTTTAAATTAACACTTACAGGCTGCAGATCCCCAGTCAAAGGGGAAACCTGAGAAGGCCCTGGCTGTGCGATTGCAGAAGGAGAAGTTGCCAAATTTCTCCCTCTTCTTTTTTATTTTTTATTACCGCTCAAAAAGTCGTATTGCCTGGGGGGTTGGGGCACGGCCAGGAGTTTGCCACTTCTCAGGGCTCCATTATGAAAACAACATGCAAGAAAGAATAGAAGAGCAGGGGCTTGGCATAGTGACGATGATGATGACAGCTAACATTTGTAGAGCGCATTTTATGTTCTCGGCCCTACTCTCAGCATCTCACATGTGTTAACCCATTTAATCTTCACAATAACCCTGTGAGGTGGGTATCATCATTATCCCCATTTTACAGATGAGGAAACCAACGCTCGAAAAGATGGAGTAACGTACTAATTAGGTGCAGGGGAACAGGCGGTTGCTTTTTCCTGCCAGCAGCCATCCTCCTCTTCTGCTAATAGTGCCTCAGTTTTCCTTGGAAGAACCACTTTTCCCTCCACACCTTGTCTTGGTGGGACAAAGGTCCTAACTTATACTCTAGGACCAAAAGTTCCTACCCAGTTCAGTCATTGTTGGGCTGTGAGCTACACAAGGGCAGGCACTGGTCTCTCTCATCTCAAACTCTAGCAAAGGGCACAATTTAGGGACTTAATAAATATTTTAAGGACAAACCAATGACCATAGCATACAACGTGTAATATATCGGTGTGATGTTTTCTACAGCAGCTGTGTGGTTAGGAAGTGTTCTGACTGGTCAAGCCTGGGTTGTGTATTTTCCCTAGACCAATCAGGTGCTCTCCTGGGCGGGATAACACATGGATAGAAGCTTTCTGGAGCCGATTCATCCTGACCATGGTGCCCCAGGGGGGCTGCCACCTCTCTCCTGGACCTGACCCCAGTTCCTGGACTTTCCAGGCCCAGATGTCCAGCCTTTCCTTCAGTTTTCTGAGACACCCCATATCCCACAAATACATTCCCTTTTTGCTTAAGTGGGCCAGAGTTGGTTCCTATTGCCTGCAACCAAGTCACCCTTCATTCTAACTGGCATGTTTCTACCATTCATGACATGGCTAGACCCAGAAAATTTAACTATGGGGGCACAGGGCAGCACTGGAAGCCTGGGACCTAAAGTTAGGCATGGTCACTGGCATGGAGCATTCATTTATTCAACAGACATCACTCACTGAGTGCTCTACGAGTCTGAGCTATCATAGCTCTTTTCCTTGAGTTTTCTTTTCAACAATCACAATACACTGATGTAGACAGTATCATGCCCACTTTGCAGATGAGGAAACTGAGGCTTGAGGAGGTTAAAGAACTTGTCCAAAAACATAAATAAAGCGAGTGGCATAGTCAGGACTGAAAATCCTGTCTTCATGAGGCCAATGCAGTTGCTCTCACCATTGTACTGCACAGTCTCCAATGACTTTTTCAATTAAAGACAATTTGTCTCGTTTAAGGAGAAACCTCATCTGAGTCAATGAAAGTTCTAGGAATTAGCTGCATCTTCCCAATCCCCCTAGCTTCCATGCTCCAAGTCCCTCCGATCTCCCGCCATCATGGTCTAACACGCACACGCAATCTCTTCCGTCCTAAGGACAGCACTTGCGCATTCTACAGCCCATGTGAATCCATTCACAACCAGCTTAAACCCACTACAACTTGTTAAGATCAATTGAAAATATTTAAGTCAAAGAGCAGTGCATGACATCACATAGCCCAGTGGAATCTGTTTCTTCTCTTGATCTAGCGAACAGCAGATGTTTCTGCCCTTACAGCATCCGTTTCACCTCCTTTTGATTTCCCTTTGAATAAGCCCTTCTTGGTGCTTGGTCCATGTGGCTGAGTGGGGCTGACCTTAATTTCTCCTCTCTCTTTAGGTGCAAAATGGGCATGTGACTCAGGTCTGCCAAACAAATGCCTTCTATCCCCCTGGCTACATTTGTTTCATGGTTGGCCACCCCAAGGTCTCATGTGACTCAGTCCTGGGGCTTTTGCTAGAGTAATGATATAAAGCTGCTCTCCTTCCCTTGCAGTTCCCAGCTATAAAGAAGAGAGAATCCTAGAGCTGCCTGAGAATAAAGCCAACAGCAGAGGTGACAGGGCGACTGAGAAATGGAGAAGAGGATGAAAGCTCACCGCATCGTGCAAGCACCTGAACGCAGCCTTACCTGAAGTCTATGCCTTGGATTTTGTAGTTACATAGTAAGACAGAAGCTCCCTTTTGTTCTTAAGCAAGTGAGTTGGGTCTCTGAGTCTTCTAATCAAAAGAGCCTGGAGTAACACGATTGACTCAACCATGTGTTTTGGAATTAAATTTACCTCCACTGAATTGCTCCCATGTTTTCCCAAATCTTAAGTTGCCTAAGATTTGTTGATTTTTAAATTTTACCTTTTTTTAACTTCCTGCCCTAAAATTCTTTTGGCCATAAGTTAAATATTTTAACATAAGAAAGGAGAAAAACCCAATTCATTCCCAAATGGCAGCTTATTAGATAACTCAATTCTCTGTGATAAGCTCAACTAATGTACCATGAATGATATTTAGCAAAAAATAGTGATGTGCCTTGCATATTGTATATTATTTATTGAAAGCCCACAAAGTTCCAGGTTACTGGTGGTAAGTCAGTAAACAAAACAAAACAAAACAAATCCTGTCCTCATGGAACTTCTGTCCTAGTGGAGGAGAAACAGACAATAAATAAACAAAGCAGGGCAGAGGGAAAGAGAATGATGCAGGAGGTGATGCTATTTTAGACAGATGGCTGGGAAGCTCTCTGAGGAGGTGACATTTGAGCGGATATGGATGCTAGCAGGGGAAGAGTGTCCTAGGCAGAGGCGATAGCTAGTTAGAGGCCGTGCCGTAGGCAGGTGCTTGGTGTGTTCCAGGAACACCAAGGAGGCCTGCGTGGCTTGAACAAAGTAAGTGAGGGGAACAATGGCAGGAGATGCATTCAGCAAGGTAGGAAGAGGCCAGATCATCTGGGGCCTTGCAGGTCCAGAAGGACTTTGGGTTTGATTTTCCTGTGATGGAAAAGCATGGGTACATGTGGGGAGGAAGAATAACATGATCAAATGTATATGCTAAAAGGATCACTCTAGTACTATGTGGAGAAGGAACTAAAGAAGGGCCAGAGTGGAGGCAGACAGACCAGTCAGCAGGCTCCTGTGGTCCAGGCAAGAGACGACTTGGACCAAGAGGCCAAGATGGAAGTGATGAGAAGTGGTGGGATTCAGGATGTGTTTTGATGGCAGAGCCACCGAGGCTTATGGATGGCCTGGACATTGGATGTGAGAAAAAGAAAAGAACCCAGGATGGTGTCATGAGGTTTTTAACATGAGCCTAACGGTGAGTGGAGGTGTCATTTACTGAGATAAGAAGGATGGCAGGAGGAACAGGTTTGGGGAGTGGAAATGAAGAGTTTACTTTTGGATGTGTACTTGTTTTTTTATTGTGGTAAAATACACATAATATGTACATAAAATATACATAAAGTTTACATATAACCATTTTGAAATGTACAGTTCAGGGGCATGAATGAAGTCTGTTCAGAACATTATGCTACCAGCACCACTATCCATTTCCCAAACTTTTCCATCATCCCAAAGAGAAACTTTGTACCCGTTAAACATTAATTCCTGTCTCCCCTCTCCCAGACCCCGGTCATCTCTATTCTACCTTCTGTCTCTGTGGACGTGCGCGCTTACAATGCCTACTGGATATTCAGGTGGAGATACTGAAAGGCAGTTTGACGCACTGATTCTGGGGTTGAAGGGACAGATGAGAACTAGAGACATAAATTTGGCATCGTCAGCACATGGAACAGTCGGCACACCATTTCCATTTATTGAACTGAATATTTGACACACTGTCTCTCACTCCTGTGCAGCCCAGAAAATAAATATGGTGCCAGACACAGTGCCTGGCATATAGGAACCATTCAATAAATATTTGTTCAATTGAGTAACTAAACTCTTTACCCTCTCGTTTTGGAAACAGCAATTCTTTGAACAAGAACTTTTAGAAGTACAAGCCTTTAAAATAAATAGCTCTATTTCTTAAAAAAAAAAAAATCTGAACAAATTTTAAAATATACTGGCACTTCTATCGCAGTTTTCAGAAATACTGTTTGATTTGTGAGCTCTTTGGCTGATGATTGTGCCAAATCCAGTACCACTTGACACCAGGCTATGTTACATAAACAGAACGGGAGTGACACAACCAGATGTGGAGTGTCACAGCGAGGATCAATGAGATGGAGAGGCAGGAGCAGAGGTTTCACCTAAAACCAGACATTTGAAGTGTGTTTCAAAATCACCAACCTCTATTCAAATTACCTTGGTGATGTTTGAAGAAAACTGTGGTTATGCAAGGGGGTAAAATGATGGCTACCCAAATGAGATTCAGACAGCGATTTATCTTCAGCCGACAAATGTTTTCTACACAGAATAAACTTCAAGTGCCAGATCTTGATAATCTGTTACATGCAGGTGTTTAGAAGCTGCTCATAAGTGTACAGCAACTCTTTGGCATGTCAACATGTGGAATACATAATTGGGGTGTGGGAGATATTGGAATTTATCTTTGGGTAATAACGTTGGAATCGTCTTCTCCAGCTACGCAGCCACACGTGCAGAAATTTGGGGATAAAAAGTTGGTATGGGGAGATTTCAAAAGCCTCAACTGTTTATTACATTCTCTTGACACTTGCTCCCATAACTGTATAATTAACCATAGGTTGGTAATGCACTAGTGCCATGGCTACAGCCTTGAGGTTGAACTGAAATGACCCCTTCAGCATAAGTCGAGGCTGCACAACTCAAAGTAGAGAGGGACATACAGATGGGCAAGTGTTCATATAGCTCAGTGTCACTGTCTCACTGGGAAGTGAAACCACACCAGTGTTTTCTCTCCGTCATCATACCTTCTCAATTCACAGTGGCTGTGTTGGTGGATGCTAAAGTATCTGAATTTGGCATTAATAATATTTCAAGAAACCAAATGGTTTCTGGAAGGCATGTGAGTATTTCCAATTACTTGAGTTGGAATTTGAATTTTGAAAGCTAGGATACATTTGCCTACTTTTAAAAAAAGATAACCTATTCATTTTAAAAGGCTGGTTATCCAACTCCAATTCTGTGGGGAAAGATTAATTTACCTCCTCCCCTAAATTTCATCATTGGGTTTGGAACTTAGGAGTTCAGAGGAGGAAGAGACCAGTATTTCTCCATATTCTCTCTTGAGAGTGCAAAAATATATTAAAGATGGATTCCACAAAATGCTCTCCTAACCTGGTGCTATGATATTTCCTTGGGGTACATGGGCCACCACCTGTCTTCAGTGATAATAGAAAAAAAGCATTTTCATTGCTATTGCATCATGAAGAGACTTAAGGATGAAAATAAATGCTTAAATTCCTGCATCTCAGTGTTGACAAAACACAAGGGACTTGCATTTCTAATGAGAACCAGTGAAAAAACCAGCATATCTCTGCTGATGCACCAACAGTATTTTCTAACATATTCTATTGCAAAACTGAGAGGCAGAAATCTTTTCCACTAGACAGAATAAGTTCACTTGCCATGGGGTTTTTGAATGAACCATATATTTGATATAAAACCATATTTCAGTAATATGTCCCATTTTTAACTAGTTTTAAGTTACCATGGCTCTATCAGACGCTGCTGATAGCCACTATTAGCAGAAAATTTAACCCTGACTTTTCCTGCTCCCACGGCTTGGTGTATGTCATAACCTGTTACTAATCTGTTGACTTTCAGCCATATAGGTTATTTTTATTTAGCCAAGTTTCACAGCTATTTAGCACTTAGGAAATAATTAATACAATAAAAAAGGTTTTAAACATATTCAGAGGCCGTGAACAACTCTTCTTCCATTTTATCATCAGGAGTAGATATAAGACACAACATGTTCTAGAAAGTCCAAATGGAGATGGCAGAAAAAGCTTACATTTGTGTGGCACTATCCATGAATTGGTCAAACTATAGCAACTGCACCTCAGCCTCTGGGCAGTCAAGCAAGTCTTCAGTGTAGATAAGGAAGAGCATACTTCCTTCCAGAAGAATGAGATGGTTTCAGCAAGTCATCTAGTTTATCAGACATACAGTGAACAGAAACGGGAATCATGGTCAATTAGATAAAAAATAAAGTAGGTTATAGTGGTCTTATAGATAGTCTTAACAGCTTGGTAAGGAGAATCAACTTAATTTGGAAGGCAATGAGGAGCCACTGGAGAACCAGGTGGATGGCATGGTTGTTGCTGGGTTTTAGGAACCGTAATCTCTAATCTCACAGGATAGACTGGAGGGATGAGAGCCCGAGAGCGGGGACAGTAGTAAGAAGAGTACGGAAGGCACTGTCAGTAGGGATGAAAAAAGAACCACGAGGGAGAGGTACCTCACTGGCCTCAGTGACTGTTGAGATGGAAAGTGTGTTGGGCCACAGATGACTGGTTTTAATTCACTGACAGGAAAATGGAGATAAGGAAGAGGAGCTGGTGTTGATTAGAGAGGAATATGGGAGGTCCTATTTTGGAGAGGTTGAGTTTGACTAGCCTGTGGAATAACCAACTGGAAGCTCAGGTCTTATCTCTGAGGAGAAGAGGCACACCTAAAAGTCTAGATTGTGGAATGGCCAGGATGGAGATAATCTTTAGGCTCTGGGAGAGAATAAAGGAGCTATAGTCTAGGGAAGAAGAAAGCTGAGGCCAGAACCTGGTAGGAGGAAACTGTGGTCAGTGAACAGATGGAGAAAAAGGAAGAAAGCTGAAGTATGTAGTGCATGGACAGCTGGACGGAGAGACTGTCAAAAGTTGCAAACGATAGGAGTTCAAGAAGAACCCAGAAAAAGCCCCATAGAATTTGTTAATCAGGGACTTGGTTTGTTTCTCTTGGGTCAGATTAAAAGTGAATGAGGATTCTGCACAGCAAAGGAAACCATCAACAGCATTAAAAGGCAAACTACTGAATGAGAGAAAATATTTACAAATCATATATCTGAAAAGGAACTAATCTCAAAATACATAAACAACTCATACAACTCAATAGGGAAAAACCAAATAATCCAATTAAAAATGGGCAGAAGATCTGAATAGACATTTTTCCAAAGAAGATATACAAATGGTCCACAGGTTCATGAAAAGATACTCAACATTACTAATAATCAGGGAAACGCAAATCAAAACCACAATGACCTCACACCTGTTAGAATGGCTACTATCAAAAAAGATAGGAAGTGACAAGTGTGGGTGAGGATGTGGAGAAAAGGGAACGCCTGTGCACTGTTGGTGGGAATGTAAATTGGTGCGACCACTACAGAAAACAATATGGAAGTTCCTTGAAAAATTAAAAATAGAACTACCTTATGATCCAGCAATTCCACTTATGGGTATTTATTTGAAGAAAAAGAAAACACTAATTTGAAAAGATATATGTACCCCCATGTTCACTATTTATGCAGCATTATTTATAATAGCCAAGATATAGAAACAACCTCAGTGTTCTTCAATGGATGAATGGATAAAGAAAATGTGATTGATATATACATACACACTGGAATACTATTTTCCATAAAAAAGAATGAAATCTTGTTATTTGCAACAACCATAGATGGACCTTGAGGGTATTATGTAAGTGAAATAAATCAAATACCATATGATCTCACTTATTTGTGGAACCTAAAAGGATCCAAAAAACCAAGCTCATAGATACAGAGAACAGATCGGTGGTTGCCAGAGGCAGGGGTGGGGGGTGGGCGAAATGGGTGAAGGAGCTCAAAAGGTACAAATTTCCAGTTATAAAATAAATAAGTCATGAGGACGTAATGTGCAATATGGTGACTACAGTTAATCATACTGTATTGCATATTTGAAAGTTACTAAGCGTAAATCTTAAAAGTTTTCAACAGAAGAAAAAAAATTTTTGTAACTATGTATGGTGACATGTTAATTAAGCTTATTGTGGTGATCATTTCACAATATGTACAAATAGTGAATCCTTATGTTGTACACCTGAAACTAATATAGTGTTATATGTCAATTATACCTCAATTTAAAAAAAATGGTGAATGAGTAGAGGGGACAATATCCAGAGGCATAATCTGTGTGGTTCTTTGGAGAGATGGGCCAGTGAAGGAAAGGAGAAGACAGGAGGGGCGCATGAGTGCACGCTGGACCGAGGCCTTCCACAGCTACCGAGCAGAATAACCGGAATGATGCGAGGTCCAGGTGAAGAGGGGTGTATTTTACTGTGTCCAACGCAGAGCTGAGATACTTGGCTGTGGATGTCAAGGTTGAGTAGGGAGGCCCTCAAAGCCAGAATGGAAATGACAGCGACCACTGGAAATGGGAGAAACATCTGGGGTTGGGGGAGGAGGATAAGGTATATAGATGGCATTTGCTTTGTTTTGTTTTTGTGTACACACGGTTTTGAGCGCTAGTGAAAACATCACCAGGGATACGTTTTGCATGGAATTTAAAAAAAATTGAATTAGTTGCTAACATTTAAAAATTGAGAATATTTCCTAGAAGATGTTTTTCTGATTTCTTTGGTAAGTGGCCCGACCTGGGGTACTCTCCCACTTTGCAGCCATCGTCCAGAGCTGCCTGGTGGCGGGTGCCTTCTTTGGATGCTGCAGACGCTCTCCTCTGCCCTGGTCCTCACCATTCCCTATTGAGTACCCCAACCCACCCCATTTACACTCTCTTTCTGGCCCCTTTAAACACATAAGTTTGCAACCTCTGGGCTGAGGTTCTAATTAGTCAGTGAGAAGGAAAGAGTAGAAAGCAATGAATATGTAAAGGATTATGATTAGAGGCAATTTCAGAGCCAGATCTCAAAGGCTACCTTCTTAAGAATCCATAGATTTTGAATGTAACTTCTACTTTACATTTCTTCTAAAATATAAACACACATACACAATATCAATACAGATCCACATTCCCTTATTCACAATTCTAAATTTCAAAGGTTTCTTTCTTTCTTTCTTTTTTTTGGTGAAGAAGATTGGCCCTGAGTTAATGTCTGTTACCAATCTTCTTCTTTATGCTTGAGGAAGATTGTCACTGAGCTAACATCTGTGCCAATCCTCCTCCATTTTGTATGTGGGATGCCACCACAACATGGCTTGATGAGCGGTGTGCAGGTCTGCACCCAGGATCCGAACCCCCGAACCCTGGGCTACCAAAGCAGAGCACGCAAACTTAATCACAATGCCACCGGGCCAGCCCCAGGTTTATTTTTTTAAATTAAGTCAATGTTGGCAAGTCCTGACCTGACATGAGATCTTTATAGAATTTACTTACACCATTAGTGTGAACATTCACACATTTCACCACAAAAATACTAATGTATCAGCTATAGGATATGGAATATATGGTCTATGCACCATAGTATCTTTATAAAATCCTGCAACTTCTAAACTCTGGCACAAAAGGTTTCAGGTAAGCAATTGGGACCCTTAAATATCAACTTTCACATATCTATAAACTAAGATATAACTTTCTCCATTTGAGAAAAATATATATATACCCCGTTGGAAAAAAATATTTTGTAAAATAACATTTATGAGGACAATTAGCGAGAGTGTGTGTGGGGGGAGTAATTCAGTCTTCTCAAATAAACAGGTAAGTGGAGGAACAAAGCCTGCACGCGATTTCACAACAGATTTTTGCCAACAGAAAGCAGAGGACACAAGTTTATTAAGCAGCAAGTCATTTCTCTTGCTCCATCCCCAAACAAACCTCCGCTTAATGTTCTCCACACTCTGAAATACAGACCTTTTAATACCACAGCGATTCAGGAGCAGGAGCGGAGAGGCTGCGGTGGTCCTCAACTCTGCTCGCTAGAATGAGATGGGTCGTTACTCCATGTCTGTCCCACAGATTGTCTGGCATGTGACTTGATGCCAGAGAGACTAGCCAAAGCTGTCTTCCCAAAGATGGAAGCTTAACCAACCCGAGAAGAAACCCATCGGTTTTTGCGTCAGCTAGAAGTTGGGCCCTGCGGGCTTCCGTGACCACATTACCCAGCTCGGGCACTCAAGACTACCCCATCCCCCTGACGCCTTTTTGCCTGGACTTCGACCAGGATTGTCAGCTGCCCCATGTTCCATCTATTTTCTTTACCGGGGTGCTGGGGAGGAAAATCATTACGGAAAGGAGCTGCTGTTTCCACATAAAGCCAGGCTCCTCAATGACCTCCTCTTCGCCAAGTGTAGTCATGCAGTTTGCAGGGATGCTGAGCGCTCCAGAAAACCATCGCATGGATGTTACAGCAGCATCTGGTACCTCTCCCCCAAGTGCACGGTTTTGAACAGGGCCTGGATACCTGCTTGGTAAGCAGAGAAAAGCATGTACCTGGTTCTATGCCAAGCCACAGAGAGGACCCACTTGGTATCACAATGGCCTAAGATCTCCAAGAAACTGTGATTAAAAAAAAAAAAAAGCTTTTCTATGAAGCCAGAGAACACGCTGTTGAGGTTGCTGTTTTCAACTGCACCTGAAGCTATGGAGCCCCTACAAAGGAATTTGGATGAGGTTTTCCTTCTCTCTTTCCTCTTTAATCTCTAAGGGACTGCCACTGAACCAGGGCCACTTTGGCAGAGGAAGCACTGACTGAGCCCTTCTCAAAGAGAGCATGGCAAAAAAAAAAAAAAAAAAAAAAAGAGACAATGATGCCTGCTGCATCAATATCCCAGAATACTTTTTATTCCCCAGTGCCCATCTGTAAAAGGCAAGGCTTGCTTTGTGAAAAACAAGGGGATAAATGTGCTGGCACTGACACTCAGACTCCACAGCCAGGCCCTGTGGGGCTGGCCACTTTACTGAGAATGTCTACATCCCTTCTCCCATCATGACAGGGAAGCTAAGGAGAAGAGGAAAATGGTTAAATGAGGTTTTCATTTTGACCTTAGTTACTACATTCCGGAGACAGAACCACGAGTGCAAAACACCTTTCCATTCTTACACTTGTGGTTTCGGTCAGATTTCTCTCCTTTCTTTCTTATTATGTTTTAAATCTTTTCTTTCACGTTCCATTTGAATTCATTTTCTCTGAAAATGGAAAAGGGCCTGTCTGCATTGAATTCC